AATTATCCAAACAAATCCAAGTTTTTTGGACCATTTTCACTTATATCAAAGTTGAATTTTCAGGGCCCAATACATCAGTACAGTTTGTGGCTTCACACAAGCATTCGTGTGGATTGGCATAAAAGTAATCTTCTTCTTTGGGTTTGTTTGCAATAACCATGCGAGGTGTCGGCTGCCCCATTCTTTTCTCGTGAGAAAATCGAACGGCAGCTGAAAACTCGTCCCACGAGAGAGTTCCATTCTGATGTAAATCCAATAATTCTACAAGCTTTCTACGGTCCAGTTGGAAAGTCTTTTTGAAACCGAGATACCTGCAAAAATCATCATACAAGGAGAAAAAGGTAAGAGAAAAAATGAATTCTTCTCTGAGTTCATTCTCTTTGAGAAAAAAAAAATCCCATCTCCAAAAACCACTGTATACTTTTATTCACAGTTCATTCTCGCTTTCATCACAATAATCACTCAATCACGTCATTTAAGGCAGAAGCTTTTTGCAAATGCTCGTGTTATAAGATTGAAAAGGAAGATCATAAAAACATTCATAAAAGACAAAGCATAATAATATAAAAATACAATCCTTGTACCTTCGATGACCTTCAACAAGCCTTGCCATGTTCCCATCATATGTGGGTATAAAGATATCACTGGCAACAGAAACTAAAAAATCAAGTGCTGCCATTTGAGACGAATGATTTTGAAACTGCCGCAATTCATTTGAATCCAGCAGCATCTCCTTTTTCACCTGCACTCCCAAGTGAAAGTACAGTTCTAGAGAAATCACAACTAAATAATATAACTGCCCGTCCCATTTTAATAGTTTTATTTATTTCTCATTTTCACAAATACCAAGAAATATATTTAAAAATTGCAACATAAAGTAGCAAAAATACTCATTATTCCTATTCTATGTATACACCCATTCTAACATCGATAGAAAGGTCTCCAACATAGCCAAAAGTAATAATAACCCCAAATCAGTAAGCTCGGTTCCCAAATTTTCTAATTGGAACAAAAGTTTACCGGCCACAGTTCTTCGTTTACAAAGACGCCACGTTTTTAACAGAAAAAAGAACCTCCGTTAAGATAATCCTATAATTTAAGAAATACTAAAAAAATGAACATTCAGATAGCTAATGAACAAAATATATATTTAAGATACATTATACAGTCAATGGGACATGGATTAAAGACAAATAGACAATAGAAGAAAAAAGACTCACAATCCTGGGAAAGGCGGCTCTTAGTGTTGCAAGTCTCCTTTCACTTCCATATATCTCGCCAGATGCAATATATATTTGTGTGTCCTGAAGAAAACCCAAAGCTTGCAAAATCAAGGCAGTTTCTTCCGGCGTAAGAGGGCATAAGCCATGAGACCTCCTCTCTTCAGATATAATCTCTTTCTCTCTCCACCAAGGAAATGCGTATCTAAACCAGAATTGAAGTGCAAAATGAGACATGGAAAAAAATGCAGGCATGAATCTGCTGTATTTAGAAGGGGGGTATGATTTGAGGAGTTTATGTTCTTACTTTAGTTGTAAAAAAAATACTAAGGATGAAGTTACAAATTCACACCTCCTATAATTTTGCGAATAAAATATGATAAGGCAATCAAATTTCTACCAACTTTCATTTTAGTTTGTTTACCACTGCCAAAAAAAAAAGGAAAGGTGATGCAAAAGCACACTTCTATTTCTCGAGTGAGTAC